TTAAGAAACAGGAACTTCAGGTGATTACAGCCCTGAACATTTTGGAAATGTTTTGAAAAAAGGTCTTCAGCCAGAAAGAAGCCAAATCCAAATATCCAGACTCTGCATTGGCCGGGAATCGGACCCGTGTCTCCCACATGGCAGGCGAGAATTCTACCACTGAACCACCAATGCTTCATTTTCCTTTTTTGTTTTGGGCATTCAAAATACTACAAACAACAGACTTCCACAAAAACCCAAGATATGAGTTGTCCTTTACTTTTTGAATGATAGGTCTTTAGCCAAGAAGAAGAAAAGTCCTAAAACTATGATACTGGAAATGCCAAAACATTTGACAAAAGCCTACCTTGTTCTAGGTGAGAATTTCCACTTAGCCAACAATGCTAGCTTGTGTCTTTGGGTTGTGGGCCTTGAAAGAATTATAAACAGCAGACTTTAATAAAAACCCAAAACATGATTTGTCCTTTACATTTCGAAAGTAAGGTCTTTAGGCAAGAAGACGAATAATATCAAAAAATTTAAGAAACAGGAACTTCAGGTGATTACAGCACTGAACCTTTTGGAAATGTTTTGAAAAAAGGTCTTCAGCCAGAAAGAAGCCAAATCCAAATATCTAGACTCTGCATTGGCCGGGAATCGGACCCGGGTCTCCCGCATGGCAGGCGAAAATTCTACCACTGAACCACCAATGCTTCGTTTTCCTTTTTTGTTTTGGGCATTCAAAATACTACAAACAACAGACTTCCACAAAAACCCAAGATATGAGTTGTCCTTTACTTTTTTGAAAGTAAGGTCTTTAGGCAAGCAGAAAAATAATCCCAAAAGTATCATATTGAAAATGATCTAATCAGACATAGGTCTCCTGTGTGGCATTTGAGAATTCTCCCACTTAAACACCAATGCCTGCTGTTATCTAGAAATTGTGTGTCGGTAAAACTAGCACAAAAAGAAGACTTCAAGTGATTACAGCACTGAACGTTCTATTAAAATTTTGAAAAAAAAAAACAACCGACTTAAGCCAAAAAGAAATTCAATACAGAAAAAGAGAATATGCATTGATCAGGAATAGAACCCTGGTCTTCCACATGGCAGGCAAGAACTCTACCACTGAGCCACCAATACTTCCTTACTTTTATATTTTATGCATTCAAATGAATACAAACAACAGACTTCCACAAAAACTCAAGATATGAGCTGTCCTTTACTTTTTAAATGATAGGTCTTTAGCCAAGAAGAAGAAAAGTCCTAAAACTATGATACTGGAAATGCCAAAACATTTGACCAAAGCCTCCCTTGTTCTAGGTGAGAATTTCCACTTAGCCAACAATGCTAGCTTGTGTCTTTGGGTTGTGGGCCTTGAAAGAATTATAAACAGCAGACTTTAATAAAAACCCAAAACATGATTTGTCCTTTACATTTAGAAAGTAAGGTCTTTAGGCAAGAAGACGAATAATATCAAAAAATTTAAGAAACAGGAACTTCAGGTGATTACAGCGCTGAACCTTTTAGAAATGTTTTGAAAAAAGGTCTTCAGCCAGAAAGAAGCCAAATCCAAATATCTAGACTCTGCATTGGCCGGGAATCGGACCCGGGTCTCCCGCGTGGCAGGCGAGAATTCTACCACTGAACCACCAATGCTTCGTTTTCCTTTTTGTTTTGGGCATTCAAAATACTACAAATAACAGACTTCCACAAAACCCAAGATATGAGTTGTCCTTTACTTTTTGAATGATAGGTCTTTAGCCAAGAAGAAGAACAGTCCTAAAACTATGATACTGGAAATGCCAAAACATTTGACCAAAGCCTCCCTTGTTCTAGGTGAGAATTTCCACTTAGCCAACAATGCTAGCTTGTGTCTTTGGGTTGTGGGCCTTGAAAGAATTATAAACAGCAGACTTTAATAAAAACCCAAAACATGATTTGTCCTTGACATTTCGAAAGTAAGGTCTTTAGGCAAGAAGACGAATAATATAAAAAAATTTAAGAAACAGGAACTTCAGGTGATTACAGCACTGAACCTTTTGGAAATGTTTTGAAAAAAGGTCTTCAGCCAGAAGGAAGCCAAATCCAAATATCTAGACTCTGCATTGGCCGGGAATCGGACCCGGGTCTCCCGCATGGCAGGCGAGAATTCTACCAATGAACCACCAATGCTTCATTTTCTATCTTGTTTTGAGCATTCAAAATACTACAAAAAACAAACTTCCACAAAACCCAAGATATGAGTTGTCCTTTACTTTTTTGAAAGTAAGGTCTTTAGGCAAGAAGAAAAATAATCCCAAAAGTATCATATTGAAAATGATCTAATCAGACAAAGGTCTCCTGTGTGGCATTTGAGAATTCTCCCACTTAAACACCAATGCCTGCTGTTATCTAGAAATTGTGTGTCGGTAAAACTAGCACAAAAAGAAGACTTCAAGTGATTACAGCACTGAACGTTCTATTAAAATTTTGAAAAAAAAACAACCGACTTAAGCCAAAAAGAAATTCAATACAGAAAAAGAGAATATGCATTGATCAGGAATAGAACCCTGGTCTTCCACATGGCAGGCAAGAACTCTACCACTGAGCCACCAATACTTCCTTACTTTTATATTTTATGCATTCAAATGACTACAAAGAACAGACTTGCACAAAAACCCAAGATATGAGTTGTCCTTTACTTTTTGAATGATAGGTCTTTAGCCAAGAAGAAGAAAAGTCCTAAAACTATGATACTGGAAATGCCAAAACATTTGACCAAAGCCTCCCTTGTTCTAGGTGAGAATTTCTACTTAGCCAACAATGCTAGCTTGTGTCTTTGGGTTGTGGGCCTTGAAAGAATTATAACCAGCAGACTTTAATAAAAACCCAAAACATGATTTGTCCGTTACATTTCGAAAGTAAGGTCTTTAGGCAAGAAGACGAATAATATCAAAAAATTTAAGAAACAGGAACTTCAGGTGATTACAGCACTGAACCTTTTGGAAATGTTTTGAAAAAAGGTCTTCAGCCAGAAAGAAGCCAAATCCAAATATCCAGACTCTGCATTGGCCGGGAATCGGACCCGGGTCTCCCGCATGGCAGGCGAAAATTCTACCACTGAACCACCAATGCTTCGTTTTCCTTTTTTGTTTTGGGCATTCAAAATACTACAAACAACAGACTTCCACAAAAACCCAAGATATGAGTTGTCCTTTACTTTTTGAATGATAGGTCTTTAGCCAAGAAGAAGAAAAGTCCTATAACTATGATACTGGAAATGCCAAAACATTTGACCAAAGCCTCCCTTGTTCTAGGTGAGAATTTCCACTTAGCCAAAAATGCTAGCTTGTGTCTTTGGGTTGTGGGCCTTGAAAGAATTATAAACAGCAGACTTTAATAAAAACCCAAAACATGATTTGTCCTTTACATTTCGAAAGTAAGGTCTTTAGGCAAGAAGACGAATAATATCAAAAAATTTAAGAAACAGGAACTTCAGGTGATTACAGCACTGAACCTTTTGGAAATGTTTTGAAAAAAGTTATTCAGGCAGAAAGAAGCCAAATCCAAATATCTAGACTCTGCATTGGCCGGGAATAGGACCTGGGTCTCCCGCGTGGCATGCGAGAATTCTACCACTGAACCACCAATGCTTCATTTTCCTTTTTTGTTTTGGGCATTCAAAATACTACAAATAACAGACTTCCACAAAACTCAAGATATGAGTTGTCCTTTACTTTTTTGAAAGTAAGGTCTTTAGGCAAGAAGAAAAATAATCCCAAAAGTATCATATTGAAAATGATCTAATCAGACATAGGTCTCCTGTGTGGCATTTGAGAATTCTCCCACTTAAACACCAATGCCTGCTGTTATCTAGAAATTGTGTGTCGGTAAAACTAGCACAAAATGAAGACTTCAAGTGATTACAGCACTGAACGTTCTATTAAAATTTTGAAAAAAAACAACCGACTTAAGCCAAAAAGAAATTCAATACAGAAAAAGAGAATATGCATATATCAGGAATAGAACCCTGGTCTTCCACATGGCAGGCAAGAACTCTAACACTGAGCCACCATTACTTCATTACCTTTACATTCTAGCATTCAAAATACTACAAAGAACAGACTTGCACAAAAACTCAAGATATGAGCTGTCCTTTACTTTTTGAATGATAGGTCTTTAGCCAAGAAGAAGAACAGTCCTAAAACTATGATACTGGAAATGCCAAAACATTTGACTAAAGCCTCCCTTGTTCTAGGTGAGAATTTCCACTTAGCCAACAATGCTAGCTTGTGTCTTTGGGTTGTGGGCCTTGAAAGAATTATAAACAGCAGACTTTAATAAAAACCCAAAACATGATTTGTCCTTTACATTTCGAAAGTAAGGTCTTTAGGCAAGAAGACGAATAATATCAAAAAATTTAAGAAACAGGAACTTCAGGTGATTACAGCACTGAACCTTTTGGAAATGTTTTGAAAAAACGTCTTCAGCCAGAAAGAAGCCAAATCAAAATATCTAGACTCTGCATTGGCCGGGAATCGGACCCGGGTCTCCCGCAAGGCAGGCGAGAATTCTACCACTGAACCACCAATGCTTCATTTTCCATCTTGTTTTGAGCATTCAAAATATTACAAATCACAAACTTCCACAAAACCCAAGATATGAGTTGTCCTTTACTTTTTGAATGATAGGTCTTTAGCCAAGAAGAAGAACAGTCCTAAAACTATGATACTGGAAATGCCAAAACATTTGACCAAAGCCTCCCTTGTTCTAGGTGAGAATTTCCACTTAGCCAACAATGCTAGCTTGTGTCTTTTGGTTGTGGGCCTTGAAAGAATTATAAACAGCAGACTTTAATAAAAACCCAAAACATGATTTGTCCTTTACATTTGGAAAGTAAGGTCTTTAGGCAAGAAGACGAATAATATCAAAAAATTTAAGAAACAGGAACTTTAGGTGATTACAGCACTGAACCTTTTGGAAATGTTTTGAAAAAAGGTCTTCAGCCAGAAAGAAGCCAAATCCAAATATCTAGACTCTGCATTGGCCGGGAATCGGACCCGGGTCTCCCGCAATGGCAGGCGAGAATTCTACCACTGAATCACCAATGCTTCGTTTTTCTATTTTGTTTTGGGCATTCAAAATACTACAAACAACAGACTTCCACAAAAACCCAAGATATGAGTTGTCCTTTACTTTTTGAATGATAGGTCTTTAGCCAAGAAGAAGAACAGTCCTAAAACTCTAATACTGGAAATGCCAAAACATTTGACCAAAGCCTCCCTTGTTCTAGGTGAGAATTTCCACTTAGCCAACAATGCTAGCTTGTGTCTTTGGGTTGTGGGCCTTGAAAGAATTATAAACAGCAGACTTTAATAAAAACCCAAAACATGATTTGTCCTTTACATTTCGAAAGTAAGGTCTTTAGGCAAGAAGACGAATAATATAAAAAAAATTTAAGAAACAGGAACTTCAGGTGATTACAGCACTGAACCTTTTGGAAATGTTTTGAAAAAAGGTCTTCAGCCAGAAAGAAGCCAAATCCAAATATCTAGACTCTGCATTGGGCGGGAATCGGACCTGGGTCTTCCGCGTGGCATGCGAGAATTCTACCACTGAACCACCAATGCTTCGTTTTCCTTTTTTGTTTTGGGCATTCAAAATACTACAAATAACAAACTTCCACAAAACCCAAGATATGAGTTGTCCTTTACTTTTTGAAAGTAAGGTCTTTAGGCAAGAAGAAAAATAATCCCAAAAGTATCATATTGAAAATGATCTAATCAGACATAGGTCTCCTGTGTGGCATTTGAGAATTCTCCCACTTAAACACCAATGCCTGCTGTTATCTAGAAATTGTGTGTCGGTAAAACTAGCACAAAAAGAAGACTTCAAGTGATTACAGCACTGAACGTTCTATTAAAATTTTGAAAAAAAACAACCGACTTAAGCCAAAAAGAAATTCAAAACAGAAAAAGAGAATATGCATTGATCAGGAATTGAACCCTGGTCTTCCACATGGCAGGCAAGAACTCTACCACTGAGCCACCATTACTTCATTACCTTTACATTCTAGCATTCAAAATACTACAAAGAACAGACTTGCACAAAAACTCAAGATATGAGCTGTCCTTTACTTTTTGAATGATAGGTCTTTAGCCAAGAAGAAGAACAGTCCTAAAACTATGATACTGGAAATGCCAAAACATTTGACCAAAGCCTCCCCTGTTCTAGGTGAGAATTTCCACTTAGCCAACAATGCTAGCTTGTGTCTTTGGGTTGTGGGCCTTGAAAGAATTATAAACAGCAGACTTTAATAAAAACCCAAAACATGATTTGTCCTTTACATTTCAAAAGTAAGGTCTTTAGGCAAGAAGACGAATAATATCAAAAAAATTAAGAAACAGGAACTTCAGGTGATTACAGCACTGAACCTTTTGGAAATGTTTTGAAAAAAGGTCTTCAGCCAGAAAGAAGCCAAATCCAAATATCTAGACTCTGCATTGGCCGGGAATTGGACCCGGGTCTCCGCGTGGCAGGCGAGAATTCTACCACTGAACCACCAATGCTTCATTTTCCATCTTGTTTTGAGCATTCAAAATACTACAAATCACAAACTTCCACAAAACCCAAGATATGAGTTGTCCTTTACTTTTTGAATGATAGGTCTTTAGCCAAGAAGAAGAACAGTTTTAAAACTATGATACTGGAAATGCCAAAACATTTGACCAAAGCCTCCCTTGTTCTAGGTGAGAATTTCCACTTAGCCAACAATGCTAGCTTGTGTCTTTGGGTTGTGGGCCTTGAAAGAATTATAAACAGCAGACTTTAATAAAAACCCAAAACATGATTTGTCCTTTACATTTCGAAAGTAAGGTCTTTAGGCAAGAAGACGAATAATATCAAAAAATTTAAGAAACAGGAACTTCAGGTGATTACAGCACTGAACCTTTTGGAAATGTTTTGAAAAAAGGTCTTCAGCCAGAAAGAAGCCAAATCCAAATATCTAGACTCTGCATTGGCCGGGAATCGGACCCGGGTCTCCCGCGTGGCAGGCGAGAATTCTACCACTGAACCACCAATGCTTCATTTTCCATCTTGTTTTGAGCATTCAAAATACTACAAATCACAAACTTCCACAAAACCCAAGATATGAGTTGTCCTTTACTTTTTGAATGATAGGTCTTTAGCCAAGAAGAAAAATAATCCCAAAAGTATCATATTGAAAATGATCTAATCAGACATAGGTCTCTTGTGTGGCATTTGAGAATTCTCCCACTTAAACACCAATGCCTGCTGTTATCTAGAAATTGTGTAACGGTAAAACTAGCACAAAAAGAAGACTTCAAGTGATTACAGCACTGAACATTCTATTAAAATTTTGAAAAAAAAAACAACCGACTTAAGGCAAAAAGAAATTCAATACAGAAAAAGAGAATATGCATTGATCAGGAATAGAACCCTGGTCTTCCACATGGCAGGCAAGAACTCTACCACTGAGCCACCAATACTTCCTTACTTTTATAGTTTATGCATTCAAATTACTACAAACAACAGACTTCCACAAAAACCCAAGATATGAGTTGTCCTTTACTTTTTGAATGATAGGTCTTTAGCCAAGAAGAAGAAAAGTCCTATAACTATGATACTGGAAATGCCAAAACATTTGACCAAAGCCTCCCCTGTTCTAGGTGAGAATTTCCACTTAGCCAAAAATGCTAGCTTGTGTCTTTGGGTTGTGGGCCTTGAAAGAATTATAAACAGCAGACTTTAATAAAAACCCAAAACATGATTTGTCCTTTACATTTCGAAAGTAAGGTCTTTAGGCAAGAAGACGAATAATATCAAAAAATTTAAGAAACAGGAACTTCAGGTGATTACAGCACTGAACCTTTTGGAAATGTTTTGAAAAAAGGTCTTCAGCCAGAAAGAAGCCAAATCCAAATATCTAGACTCTGCATTGGCCGGGAATCGGACCCAGGTCTCCCGCGTGGCAGGCGAGAATTCTACCACTGAACCACCAATGCTTCATTTTCTTCTTGTTTTGAGCATTCAAAATACTACAAATAACAAACTTCCACAAAACCCAAGATATGAGTTGTCCTTTACTTTTTTGAAAGTAAGGTCTTTAGGCAAGAAGAAAAATAATCCCAAAAGTATCATATTGAAAATGATCTAATCAGACATTGGTCTCCTGTGTGGCATTTGAGAATTCTCCCACTTAAACACCAATGCCTGCTGTTATCTAGAAATTGTGTGTCTGTAAAACTAGCACAAAAAGAAGACTTCAAGTGATTACAGCACTGAACGTTCTATTAAAATTTTGAAAAAAAACAACCGACTTAAGGCAAAAAGAAATTCAATACAGAAAAAGAGAATATGCATTGATCTGGAATAGAACCCTGGTCTTCCACATGGCAGGCAAGAACTCTACCACTGAGCCACCAATACTTCCTTACTTTTATATTTTATGCATTCAAATGACTACAAACAACAGACTTCCACAAAAACCCAAGATATGAGTTGTCCTTTACTTTTTGAATGATAGGTCTTTAGCCAAGAAGAAGAACAGTCCTAAAACTATGATACTGAAAATGCCAAAACATTTGACCAAAGCCTCCCTTGTTCTAGGTGAGAATTTCCACTTAGCCAACAATGCTAGCTTGTGTCTTTGGGTTGTGGGCCTTGAAAGAATTATAAACAGCAGACTTTAATAAAAACCCAAAACATGATTTGTCCTTTACATTTCAAAAGTAAGGTCTTTAGGCAAGAAGACGAATAATATAAAAAAATTTAAGAAACAGGAACTTCAGGTGATTACAGCACTGAACCTTTTGGATATGTTTTGAAAAAAGGTCTTCAGCCAGAAAGAAGCCAAATCCAAATATCTAGACTCTGCATTGGCCGGGAATCGGACCCGGGTCTCCCGCATGGCAGGCGAGAATTCTACCACTGAACCACCAATGCTTCGTTTTCCTTTTTTGTTTTGGGCATTCAAAATACTACAAATAACAAACTTCCACAAAACCCAAGATATGAGTTGTCCTTTACTTTTTGAATGATAGGTCTTTAGCCAAGAAGAAGAAAAGTCCTAAAACTATGATACTGGAAATGCCAAAACATTTGACCAAAGCCTCCCTTGTTCTAGGTGAGAATTTCCACTTAGCCAACAATGATAGCTTGTGTCTTTGGGTTGTGGGCCTTGAAAGAATTATAAACAGCAGACTTTAATAAAAACCCAAAACATGATTTGTCCTTTACATTTCGAAAGTAAGGTCTTTAGGCAAGAAGACAAATAATATCAAAAAATTTAAGAAACAGGAACTTCAGGTGATTACAGCACTGAACCTTTTGGAAATGTTTTGAAAAAAGGTCTTCAGCCAGAAAGAAGCCAAATCCAAATATCTAGACTCTGCATTGGCCGGGAATCGGACCTGGGTCTCCCGCGTGGCATGCGAGAATTCTACCACTGAACCACCAATGCTTCATTTTCCTTTTTTGTTTTGGGCATTCAAAATACTACAAATAACAGACTTCCACAAAACCCAAGATATGAGTTGTCCTTTACTTTTTTGAAAGTAAGGTCTTTAGGCAAGAAGAAAAATAATCCCTAAAGTATCATATTGAAAATGATCTAATCAGACATAGGTCTCCTGTGTGGCATTTGAGAATTCTCCCACTTAAACACCAATGCCTGCTGTTATCTAGAAATTGTGTCGGTAAAACTAGCACAAAATGAAGACTTCAAGTGATTACAGCACTGAACGTTCTATTAAAATTTTGAAAAAAACAACCGACTTAAGCCAAAAAGAAATTCAATACAGAAAAAGAGAATATGCATATATCAGGAATAGAACCCTGGTCTTCCACATGGCAGGCAAGAACTCTACCACTGAGCCACCATTACTTCATTACCTTTACAATCTAGCATTCAAAATACTACAAAGAACAGACTTGCACAAAATCTCAAGATATGAGCTGTCCTTTACTTTTTGAATGATAGGTCTTTAGCCAAGAAGAAGAACAGTCCTAAAACTATGATACTGGAAATGCCAAAACATTTGACCAAAGCCTCCCTTGTTCTAGGTGAGAATTTCCACTTAGCCAACAA